CCCTGTTTCCTTTGTCCGAGTTCGGAGACCCCAGCCACACATATAAACCATACGGCTCCGATTTCGGAGTCCCCGCCTGGTAGTGGTTAAGGCCGTAAATGGAATCGGGGTCGAGTTAAGTCGATATGCACGTCTGGTCGGGTAGAGAAACAAATCTAGCGGAAAACCGTCAGCAAATCTAAAACCTTTACACCTTTCTCCACCACACCTTACTTTTGAAGACTTCACGAAAAATTCAAATTCTTTGTTTCAAACCTTCAAAAATTTCCCCAAAACATAAACAAACTACCGCTTACGCGAAGAGCTTTTCACAAAAATGACTAGTTCTGACCACTCTGTTACTATACAACATATCTCAATTTTATTTTCACAAAACAGGAAAAGGCTTTACCTTACCATGAAAATATTTGGGGCAGGGATTTTTATTTCCAAAAGGTGAAAATGCGACGTAAATTTCATGAAATGAAGCAGCTGCTTGCCTGGCACATATTCTCGTGGCTCTCATCACTTATGCAAGTGATCCTAAAAATGGGACATGCACTGTTAATAATTTCCCTCTGAAACATACGTATCATTGCTGCTACTGTGCTAGCATAAATATTCATCATTTTATGTCATCAAATTTTCAAATATACATGTACTCAGTCAGTGAGACCCCTACCTTTCTCATACTCTCAGGAGTGCCTCGATGATGTACAAAGAAAATCAACTACCTTATCCATCCAATGCTATATCCTACATTTCAATTGATTGGGGGTCTAAAGGAATGGACAAATTAACCCACTAAAACCAGCTGAAAGTCACCTGCGAAATCATGCAGCCACTTTGAGCAAACGAATAAAATAGTTCATAATGGTCGCCTTACTCGGCCTACTCACCGAGTGCATGCGGCCAATTACCGACATGAAAGTTGCCTAACATTACATGTACTGCACATGTAGTACAGGATGTACGCATACACACGCAGCCTCCAGTATCCGAGGATGGTATTTGACAGAATCCAAGTCATCTGTGGTGAGGGAAAGCAGTGAAGGGAAGCCAAAAGCTGTCTAGGCTATTCTCTTCCCAATCCTTGCTTGTACATGTACGATCAATCATGATGTGCTGGATAGTTAGAATCAAGTTGACATTAGTGTTGCAACTCTGCCAACACGGTGGCTGTGCATCGTGTACCCCGTATGTAGTAGTGTTTTCCTTAGGCATTGTTCGGGAGCTGACTATGAGAAATCCCAACAAGCGTGTGCTCAAGGGAAAATCCCAAGCTTATTAACGGCCGTTTTATGTAACGCACACTGCTTTCTTGATTTTTATTCCACACATTTGTAACAAGTTTTTTTTCAGTTATTGAGAAAGACTTTTTTTCAGAGGTAAGATAACTTGTTTTAAGAGTGAAAAAATGCATTTCAGAAAATCAGACATCAAAATCACACTAAATGGCAAACACTATGCTTTTTCTAGTCGATCCAAATTTACGATCAAGCTTTTTCCATGTTTTTTCAAAATAAGAATGATCTGCAAAAAAAACTAAAAAACATCAGCATGCTGCGGGACGCTGAGTTGATTGCATGTTTAGATAGTGTGTTTATGAAGTACGGTCTGCCGTGACACCATTGTTATGCATGTTTCCCACCAGTGCCACATGGTGCCGCGCATCAGCGGGTCTCAGGAGGCTGGAGTGCGGCGCCGTGCAGCACTGTGCGGCGCATTGAAGCGGATCGCGGCGCGCCGATAAAAATATTTTGGACGCCTTCCAAAATCAAAAATCTGCCATTCCTTCATGAGGGCGGCAGGTCTGGGCTGGCTTGCAGTTTGACTCTGCAAGAAGGGACTCGGTGATGACGTCACTTAGCACATCTCTGGTGACAGGGTCCTTTGTAGTGGAGACATTGAGCTGCCTCCAAGATTTCTGCTTATTGGCAGGACTCATGTGGAGCCTCAAAGCCTGATGAGTTGGTCAGTCCAGCACACTGCTCTGCACATGGCCCTGGTGATAAAAATATTGCGAAGGTTACTGTCTGATGATAATATAGTTGATGTGACGCCAGTGCTTAGACCTCAGGTGCATCCAGGAGGTCTTGTAGTGGTTGCAGAGCTGGAACATGGTGTTGGTGATGGCCGTACCGAACTCTGAACAAAGGGTAAGGAAATGCTGGCCATTGTTGTTAACGTTGCCAATATTGTGTCGCCCAGTGATACCCGTTCAGATGTCGTGGCTCAAACTAAATCTGGCATTGTAGTCACCCATCACTTGTCACTGCAGGGAATGCTGCAAAGGGTGGCTCCCTGGAAGTCGTAGAAACGGTCCTTGGAGTCATCCTCACATGTGAGAGTGGGAACGTTAGCAGTGTAGCATGGCAATCCTTAACCCCTTGATGACGAAAACTTTTTTCCGAAAGCCGACTCTGAGAATTCCAGCCTTGCTTGGCCACGAAGGCCACCTGCCAAACCGCATATTCTCAGTTTGTGGCCCTGCGTGCTCTGCACGCTTTGAATTACACAGTGAAAAGGCTCATTGTGGCGTGCGGCTCTACTCACACTTCCACATTCCCGTTGCCTCTTTTCAAAGTGGGGACTATTGTGAAGCTGGTGTTTATGATGCAATTCAGCCTTTTCATTTCTTGGCAACACACAAAGGCCAATTACCATATATACAAGAGCCAGGGTATGCCTTCTTTCACCTATTCGCTCGAGGATGGGCCGGGAATAATAGCTGAAAAGCGGGCTGAGGATCTCAATTTTTACAGCGGCTCTTACCGTCATCCGTCGCGAATGGGTTAACAAGGGGCAGTCAAAGAGACATCAGAAGTTCATGCAAAAGGGAGACTCAGGAAGCGAGCGAAGGATAGTCGTCTTCAAGCAAAGCCAACGTGGTGGACGGTGTAACCCTCGCCTACCTCAGTCAAAGATCCCTGGTCAGCAAATCTAGTCTGGCGCAGCAGTCCCAACCCACTGACTTGACCACCCAGCAAGGACTCTGGTGGCATGGAGAGGAACCAGGACGACCTGCTCCATGGGAAGCTGCAGCACCCTGGCTGTCGTCCCCTTTGTTGGGTGCCACCTAACGCAAGGAGACAAAGACTAGAACTTTGTAGACTGCTGGCCGAGACTAATGGGCTCTACCCACGGGTCTGTGGTCAGAGTGGTCCTTCTAACAAGTTTTACCTACCTGCTTTTGTGGTCAGCATTGTCCTCCTAGGTGGACTGTCAGCCAAGTCATATGAGCTCAACCTGCCTGGATCAACCTGGTTATTGCGACATGAATTTGCTGACACCCTCTGTTATTTTGTAGAAGAAACAAGGCCAGGATGAGAAGCCACACAGTGGCATTTGATTAGGAGACGCGGTTGTATACAATGGGGTAATTCAGTCCAGATGGAGCTGCTTGGCACTCCATCCCACCCCAGGACATTTGCCGCCATATTGCTGCTTAAATTTCACACATAAATTATGACACCATATGACCCATGATTACATCATTTATGACATCAGTTTCAGTGAAGACCACATTTCTGTATTCTCAATTAAATTTCGGATCAGATACATGTAAATGGAAAAAGTTTTCCTGGTTTTATAATAAAATACACTAAATATTCAGTTTATTACACACAGTGTCCATGTGTTTTTCCATAGGGCTTTCCTATTCGTAATACACATATATGAACCTACATGTATCTGCTGATGATGAAAAGCAATAAATTGTTAAAACTGCTCTGTCATTAGCGCATCTAAACTTTTTATATAACCAGCAAGAAATGAGACCGAGGGGTACCCCCC